CTGTATACATTTTTCATATCCTTTGATTTTCCTTGATTTGCACGCTGATTTTTATTCATATTTCGTCATTATATTTATGTTTGCAGATGCTGTATATTATACAGAATACTCCCATGTAATCAACTTTGTACACCCTCTCATATTGCATGGGCAAACGCGTGAATAATGTTACTTTTTCCTTAGTGGTCTCTTGAATATTCAATTATATTAACATTTACCGCAGCGTTTGCGTTAGAACTTGGAAAAGTAGACATATCCACTTTGGAAATTCTTTCAGTATCTTATTTTTATATCATTATCCTCTTCCTGGCATCTGCTTTTCACGGCCAGTTTGTTTATTTGTATTACTTCCCTGGGATATCCGTCGTCAAGGCACATCCGAATCAATTTGTCCTATTTTACATTCCAAAATTCCTCTTTCGTTAATCTTAGGCTTCTAGAGATCATATTACAAATTATCCTAAACTTTGGTCCGTAGTTTTGATGAGACTAGAGATTGGTTTTTATTCCAGAATGCGGCTTCTCTTGGGTGTCCTATTCGAGCAGTTGACTATAGAATCAAGAAGAGGTAGCCTCTCCTCTTTTTCTACTTCTACTATACATTTGATTATTTCATCAATCTGGCTTATAAACTTCATGAAATCGTTCTATTTTTTTCTTGCATACGGCATAAGTGCGAAATTGTCATTCCAGTATAGAATGGGCATTCTTGGTTGTAGAGAGAAAGTCTTTAAATCCTCTTCTAATTTGTGCATTTATACGATTGACAAGATAGTTGAGAGCAAGTCTTAATATTTTTATTTAGATGTTGCCGTTTTATGTGAAACCTGTAGTCCTTATTGTCTAGTTGATTAATCGTGTTTACGACTCTCTCCTGGTCCTCTCTGCCTCCAAGAGATTCTCTTCTTGGTCCAGCATCTCTAGCAGAGCCGCAGGCGCCTTTTTTCCGGAAATGTTCGTATACTATGATTGTACAATAAAACTTACCGATATTTCTTTTAATTTCATGCTTCTAGTCATTTGCGGAAACTCACAGGATTGTTTCAATGTTTTTGATTTAGTTTTGTTAATTTCTTGAATTTCAAACATGAATTTTGCCGATTTGTTTGTTGCTTCATACTTGTTTTAGACTATCAGCCTTAGTACTTCCCCTTCTATTTATATCATCGGTAATCCGTAGGCTTTTGGTAGTCACGCATCCTTTCTTTTTAATGAATCGATCTCCCCAGTTCTATGCACAGCTTTCAGCTTGTCACGTAGAATTCCATTGATCTTCATAGTCAATTTATTCTATAGTACACGATACGTGTACTTTACGTCTTCTCGGTATTTTGTTACTTGTCGACTTCTACTGTTTCACCTCTTTTATCTTCATAAGGGACTCATAATTCACTTATTTGTCCAAATTAATCTATTCCTGTTTTTTAGTTCCTAATGTGTCAAGATTCTTGGGATTATTTTCATCTATATTTCCAGGTTTGTCTCCTCAGGGAACTTGTTGAAGATATTACTGACTTCCACAAGGACGTATTCTAGAGCTTTATTGTCCTTCTGAAGAGAAAATTCAGCCCTTTATTGAGGATCCTGGTTATTTCGGTATCAAGAGGAACTAAGGATAAATTCATCACCTTATCTCGATCATTGTAAGATTCAGTATTTGTTGTCACTCCGGAAACCACATCAACTAGGCCCTCTGGGTTTAACTTACGCGGTTTTATAATACCATACCTAGGCAATTTTTTGTCTTAAATTCCTACTCGCATTATATGAATTCATCTTTTAATTTTATCTATTTAATACTATGATCGTCCTTATATTGTGCTTACTAGCAGGCACAGCAATTAGAAAAACGATAATTCTTAGTCCCTTCTATCTCGTTTCCAGCTTCAGTCATTTGTTCCTTTACTTCTGAAAATTGTAGTCACAAGCCTCTAAAACCTTTTCTTTGTATCATCATCCTTTGGCACGACACAAGGGTAAACGAATAAATGTTGCTTTGTAGAAGCCTGTTATATATAAAAGCCAGAATTATTTATAAAAGTGGTCATTTCCGAATAAGTTGTTAAATTTTTTTTGAGAGCTAATTTGGTAATCGATTCACTCACAAGTTTACCTATTTTTTTAGAATAATGTAAAAAGGCGAAATCTGAATATGAGAAAAGGTACCGGCCTCCTTATATCCTTCCAAATAATCTCTCTTCGTATCTTTATTTTTATTAAACTAATTGTATTTACAAGTAAGCCTGAAGGATTGTTTAATCCAGTGATAGCCGCTTATGCAAATCTTGCTCCTCGTCAAAAAAGTTCCTATCGCAAGCCTTATACGTCTTTGGATATTGCGATATTGAAATCTTTGGGTTATGCGAAAGTTTTTGAATTAAAACCGCATATAATTATTTTTTATACATACTCTACTCAAATACTCAAATAGGACGGGCATCGTCAGAGCCAAAAACTAATAGCCACCAAAAAACATTAAATTAAGCAATGCGGCCGGCATTCCTATAGCGTAGGCATAGAGTGGCCAACCAAATCAGGGGATGCTTCAGTAGGACCGCAAAGTTAAATTTAACAAGTAAGAAGGATTTTGGTCAACAATCGTTTTTGGTTTCATGTTTTTGGTTGTTGTTAATATAAGATAATTTCTGGCTCTGACTGTCTCACTTGATAGACGAAGGCTCAGGATAGTTTTTATTCCCAGATTCCAGCAGTCGCAAGTCTAAGGCAATCCTCCTACATCCAGTGCGGCCAATTTATGAATTCGTTACTACCTCTTTTTTCAAACGGAATGAAAAATATTCCAGTATTAGTTTACCCCCATTTTCTTCGACTGCCCTATTAAAGTGAGTACAACTAATTGGAAGGCAATCTCAAAAACCAGGTCGCCCTGACTTAATTTTCGAGTCAAAATGTGTTAACATCTACCGATCAATATTATACCTGGAATTTGTTTGTTAGCCTTATTAATTCAAATATTATATCAACAGTAGGGCCCTCTTCACATATGAAAGCAAACTTGTATTAGAAAAGCCTTTGGTTGGGTGTAAAAATATAATGTATCTTAAAAACTTGTTAACAATTTTTAGATATAATCTATTTCTTCAAAACGATCCTTGGCGTCGCGTATTTGTAAACACATGTATGCGTACACAAGTGTAAAATAAACATTCATATATAGAAATTAAGGTGAATTGGTTCAACACTTTTTATATCTATAAATTACTTCTTTGTTAACATGTTGAGAAAGTAAGGAGGGGCTGAAGAATTGTCTTTGTTCGTTGATATCTTGAAGTGGCTACATGAATGCTTAAAAGCCTTGATTAAGCCTGTTAAGTAAGCTGAAAGATCAAAGCTCAAAAAATTTTCATTTGACCTGAATGCTGGTGGATCTAGATATGCATCAGCATGAAGGTCGCCGGAAAATCCAATGGCAGACAAAGGGGAATCTTTCATCTTTCTATGCTAAAATGGGCATGTAGATGTTTGCACCAAGTACTTTTACTATAATATAATACAATGAATGAAGAAAATCATTTCAAATCAGCTACTCATAGCCTTAACGGTTTAAATAAGATTCTAATAATTGTGAATATTAAATCTGACTAATTTTAGCATTGAGGTTATTAGGGATTATCGCTCAGAAATTTCTACTGTGTCGTATATCTTGCAGCTCCACTGGTATCTGGAAAGTTACGCTAGTAATAGCCTAAATATCTCGACTATACGATAGACTAAAACTTAAAATAAGTTCAAAGGGGTCAGAAAATATAATAGCTACAAATGGATTTATATGATAAATCACTTCGTGTGAATTAATGCTTTCACACCGAGAGTAACCGAATTTCTTTGAATAAAATGAAGACAACATTTCTCTTATTTGCATTGCAGAATACGTCTATAACGACATTTTAATTAAACTTTATTATTATATAGACTTTTTTATTTTTTTCACTTCATTGTATATTGTTATAATAAAATTTTGACTTGCTATTCTAGACTATATTTCATCTATGCACCTAATTATCACCTATAAAATGATCCTATTTGGAATTCAGATTGACCTTCATAAAATTGGGAACAATGTGGAGCAAACTTACTGCGGAGATCTTGTCATCGGCCTGCGCTTCTCGCCTCTTAGCCCAGACGACATCAATTACAAGTCACAATGGAATACTATGGCAAATGATCCTCTTGATCAGTTGGGCTTTCTGGAAGTTTGGGTGAAGGAGGGTAAAAATCTTCTATCTCAAACTCAAGGTAGCATCTTAAATGTCTATACCAAAATGTGAGTTCACTGCTTAAATATTCGCAACTTTTTAATACATCAGGCGGGTAACAGTCAAGTATGTCCCATCCTTCAATCTTAGCACATTCATAAGCTTTCACTATGAATGGCCTC